TAGCATTGTACTTCACCACTCTTCAGTACGAAATATTATAGAACGCGAAAAATTCAGTCACAGCAAAAACCGCTTCAATTCTGAGTTCGCCCTCGGAGGAAGGCAAACTGGTGATGAACCGCTGCGGGAATTCCGTCCCAGGTTAGCGAACTGAGCGAGCCATGGGCCCGTACGAGAACACGTGGTTTGGCGTGAACGGGCCCAGTTCGTGCGCTGGGAAGCTGAAGCCACTGAGAAAGAATTGAAACGTCTTGACAACGCCCATTAGAACGCAATCTGTATGCAAATGTAGTTTTTGTGGGCTATAATTAGTTAGCGGCAAGCATCAACAGCTGTCTACTCATCGTTCCAACAGAGAAATTAAATAAAGCCCGACGCAAAAACCGCATAAAGGCAGACAATAAAGAGGGTACGAATTGACTGACTGGAAACCCTGCGGACACAGCAAGATGATGCACCTTACACCGACCGTAAAACACATGTAGACGAGGCTATAGAATAACGGCTCGCAACCAGTCGGTGCTTGGGTTTGCTATCCAAGGACAGATCCCAGGTCGGCCAGCGGGACCATGCCTTAGTCCCTAAAAAGGCAGTGAAATGCCAGCAACGGTATCTCTTTGGCTTCAGTTTTGGCGGCTGGTACCGTGCTCGAACCTACCTGCCACGCAGCCCGATATTGGACCCCTGTTGCTCACACCTTTCACATTCGTCACCAGCACTGCGACGTTACCAAAATATTTCGTAATCTGGTCGGAAGCCCGAACACGTGATAAGTATGCGAGCACCGACATGTTCTATGCTGTCATGCATGTGAAAGCCCTGCGGATTAGTCTCGTCAACTAGTCGCAATCCATGTCTCAAGATAAGACCGCATGTGTGTCTTACAGATACGTCTTGAGGACGGATACATACCTTGATATGGGCGATGCTCATAGGATTAATCTTGTGCATGGCACAGAAGCAGCCTCACCAATATAACTTTCAGCATAAATTATGTAAGGTTCGTCTCAACTCACATTTAACCCGTCAGAGGCTATCCTCGTCGCAAGATGTCCAGAACCTAGCAAAGCACATGCACTTTCCATGCATGGCAGGGTATGCATGTGTCGCGCCCAAATGAATCCCACTGTCATGCTATTCAAGTAATAACCGAATGCTAAGTTAGCGGCAAATATTTCAGGAATGCAAGTAAAAAAAAGTCTGATGCGCTTGTTCACGCTTTATGATAGCGTATCTCACCACCCCTCCTCCAGACACAGGCCCTTTGCCCGTCACGAAGGTACAGCGTCCGCCTCCGTCAGATGAGGGTGTAGCAGACCGGGAGCTGTCTGGACGACATGGGGTTGGCCACCGTCAAAAACAGACCGAGCTTCGTGATCGGACCACGGGAGCCGGGGGGGAGGGACTCGTCTTCCCCACGACCAACAGCGCGGAGCACAATCCTTCTGCTGTCGTGGCGCCGTAATGAGTTTTCACGCTGGATTTCCGCCTCTTTGTGCGGCGGCGAGGCAGGCGGCGCCCCGGCCCTTTGCGGCGCTAACGGGGGACACGGCAGGGTGGCTGACCTCCTGACGGACGCCGGTTCGGGCTGGCCCGGCCGGCAGGGGTGCGCAGCTCGGTGTGTCACCCCAGAAGACCTCTCGACAGGGTAGCCATTAGCGACACGGGACGACGCCCGGCTGAACCCGACTGGCCTCCGCTGTTTGTTTCCGTTCCGACTTTGTTTTCTGACAATGGTGTGTCCAGGAGACGGCCGTGTTCGGCTGGCTCTCCCGGTGAACATGTTTATTGGGCCGGTCGCCGGTGAAGTGTTTATCGCCCGGCCGCACCCGTGCCGACTCGTGCCCGACAGTTTCCGAGGCTCACGGGTGGGACCGATGGATACCTGGGTGGCTGGACACACACGGAGTGTGCTCAAAGACGGCATTTTCTAGGCTATATCGCCAGTTAACAAATATCTTTCCTTGATTTTTATAACATCGCATCATTTCTGCTTGCCCATTGCATATTGCAAGTCGCAACAAAAACTGTGACAGGCGGAAAGACAAGAATACTACACACACAGTGGTTCATCATAGTTCGATCAATCCACATATCCTGCAGAGCCCATCACGAGCTTTTTGGAAGCGCTAACAGGCGGGATGTTATCTTCCAGAGAAGTTGCAGGATCATGTTGGTTCCTTGAGTCACTTCAACACCTTTGATTAGAAGAATAGCCTGCACTGAGAATTCCGTGTTAGCATACCGGCAAGAGCCTATCGTAATGTAACATACGGACGTCGCCTTTGCTTAGCGGCGCCACAAAAATGGTCGTATGCCTTGTTGGTGTAAGCAAATGTGAAAAGCTTAATCTGCCATAAGAATTTATGGCAGCAATGTCATCTTAATACCGTTCAGCCGTAACAAGCACTATAAGGAAAGATAATCGTCATTTTGTGGCATATCGACGATTGAAGTGCGGTGTCTCCCTGACGGGGGTGGCATGTCCTTCCTAAGCAGACTTGAGAAAATGATGCTTCAATGACATAAGAACTACATAATTTCGTTCCGTTTCCATTACACGCAAGTCACCAAACGTCACCTCGGTGGCGGTGAGATTGGTTAATTTGTACGATATAGTCTAAAAAAATTATCATATGACTCTGCATGACACCTGTACCTTACCATTAGGCCCTCAGCGAATACCCAAAACGAAACAGAAACAGAGTTCCTCATCTCGCCGTGTATAGTCGTTACCGTCCGATTTAATCAAATGCATTAACAGGCAATAATGTATTGACGTTAAGCCACCGCAAGGACAGTACAAATGCGGTAAGTAGATACGCAAATCATTCATTCAACAGACGTCTTGTTCGGTGTGCGAACAAAAAGTCGAAAGGAAAAAGTCGAAATGGAAAAGTTGATCAATAAAAAGTCGGTAGGCATAAAGGTGGGCTGGGATAAGATTGGCATCGGAAAAGCTGAAGGGCAAGCAATCAAAAGTGATCAAAATAGGCTGGGATCAAGTTCAACGAAAAAAAAAACCTTAACGCAAAACTCAACAGGGACAAAAGTCGACGGTGACAGAAGCTGACTAAAAAAGTCGAAGGAGGAAAAAGCCGACAAGGATGAAGGTTGAAATGGAAAAGTCGAAGGAAAACGCGTCGACAGAGATGAAGGTCAAAGTCAAAGTCAAAGGTGACAAGCTAAAAGGTGAAAAAAACCGAAACGGAAGTCCGCGAGACACTCGTTCGTGGGTGCTTATGATCACGCTTTCAATCATACCCGCAGTAAGCACAGAACTTTTGATGTGAAATAGACACAATGCTGGCTTTGGGATGATCCAGTACAAGCCTAATCACTATGTTAACATTGCATAAGTCTTGCAACATGATCAGTAAAGTGTGAGTAGGGGGAAAACCGTGATCGCTTCCCGTTCGATCTTGTCCGGTTCCGTCCGTTTCCGTCACCTGGCTCGGTCCGGTTCCGTTCGGGCCCGTCGGATTGCGTTCGGTAGAACGCGGTCCCGTCCAGTCCTGTCTGGTCCCGTCCTGCCCGGTGCGATACCGGCGCGCTTCGTCCAGTCTCGCCTGATCTCGTCCTGTTTTGCCAGGTTCCATTCGGTTTTGTCCGTTTCTGTCGGATTCTGTACGATCTCCTTCTGTACCGTCCGGTTCCTTTCCGCCACGCCCCGTGACCGATCCCGCCCTATTCTGCCTGCCTGCGTCCGGGCACGCGTGGTTTCGTCTGGTGCAATCCGGTTGGGTCTGGTCTTGTTCCATCTGGTTCCATCTGGTTCCATTCCGGTCCCAGATCCTATTTCGTCGGCTCTCGCCCGATCCCACCTGACGTGATCTGATATTTGTACGCTTTGTATGTTTCCACCCGTTTCCATCCAGTTCCATCCAGTCCCACCCGTATCTCCCGTGAGAGCAGCTCTATCTTCGTCTCATACCAGACGTAAAATCCTGATGACTGTTTTTTTTTAAAATAATTCGAGCCCTAGTGTTTTTTTTTTTTTACTGACCCGAGTTGACATTTATCGCTGGCGATGCTCTTTTTTCAACTTATCCGTTTCACCTTTTATCCCTGTCGATTTGCAGCTTTTTACCGTTTGAGGTGTGGAGTTGTTATTCCTTTATTCCTGGTGATGCCTTGTCGTTGGACGGTTTCCCTTTGAGTTTTCGTTCGGGAACCATCGCGCTCATATCATTTGGACTGATTGACCGGGGCGTGGGTCGGCTAAACTGGTGTGTGACTGCGAAAACTGATCGACCAAAGTTGGGGCGTCAGTTAAGTAGATAGACATGGATCAAGGGTACGTGCAGACACCAAGTCAGTAGGAAGCCATGCCCCTGGCTGTTTCAACAAGCGCCTGCATCACAATAAACGGTTGCATTCCTTCGTCATTGACGGCTGTATTACCATCGCAGGTTTATGAAAACAAAACTCCCATTTTTCTCCACTGATTCCTGTTTTTAAGGGACGAGACGGACTTCGTCACACCCGTTTTATAGAGCGCCAGCCAATGCTTTGGCCATATTAGCGCTCAGCAGCCATGGCGTAACCAGGAGTCGAACATATGCCCCCACGCATGAGTCCGAGGCCGTAACCAATCGGACATTACGTCCCTCTCCCCCTCCCCAATCTTAACCCATTCGAGCCAAACAACTTCTCTAAACCCATTTGTTCCAAACAACCTTTCTGAATTCATTCTATCCAAACAATTTCTTGTCCCAGAAACCTCCAAATAAACCACTACTCGCCACATACAACGCACATTCTGTATTTTACAGTGATGTTTGTTCAGCACATAATCAGCGAAACCTATCAGGCAACTTTATTTGAAGGGCCTAGGCGAAAGCATCCTCCCGTAGAAGAAATACTACAAAACGTTTTATCGATTGAAATGAGCCACCCACTCAATGGCCTCGAAAAGATGCGTTCATATTGGTGGACAAAAAAATAATATGCATGACCAGCATTGCAGCTGTCAGGCTGTCTGACGTGTGCACAATCCATGCATCTCTCAGATCTGTATTCATAGTTTCCTTTTACATGTAAGTTGCATTACTCGGTCAAATTACATTTTCAAGTATTTCCTTCAGTAAAACACTTGTCCTGGACATAAATCAGCTTTAACAGTCTGTACAAAGTAATTGGACCTAGGTATTTGGTGATATCAATGTGCTTATACAAAGCGATTTTAGCGTATATAAATGTAATGCACTTCATGGTTACCGGTAAAAAACAATTAAGCTAGAATTTCATCAACAGGCTCGATGATTTGTTCCTTTACTTTGTCATATATTTCTTCTTTTACTTCATGCTTAATTTGCTTGTTCAGGAGTTGCCCAATCTTTTTCACAACATGGTCGGATTTTTCGTTGAGCGGCCGCGAACCGGACTTTGAACGTCGGCTTGAGGTTGGGTCATCCAGGTCCCAAATATGGACATGCTTGCCATGTCTATGAAAATACTTCTTCGGAAGGGCCTCTGGAAAAGTACATGTTCGCCGTTCAATCTGCAGAATAGAAGTTCTCAACATGGATATAAGACATTGTCATTTCGTCAGTAACTGGAAAGCCAGAAGTTGTGTTTCAGCAAATAGCTCACATCGCTTGCAAATATACCTGAACGCAATCGTTTATAATTTCGTACATTTTGCACCTTTACAAAAAGCTGCAAAACTGCATCATAAATGTGCGTTTTTGCACTATTTGCAAACATTGTGCTAAACGTGGATGTAATGTTCTACCTCAGTGTTGGAATGTTCAGCAACAAGCAAAATTACTGACTTGAGTACCACCGATATTTCCACTCACCTGTAATAACTGCAAATACGAGAAGACTGAAAAGAAAAACAAGGACCGCCCTCATCTTGCTGTAAATGTCACAAAAAACGTAGAACGGTTCCTTAATTTTGAACGGCTATGTTGAATGCACCAAAAAGCAGTAACACTGCAAGAAGACTGCGCAACTAAAAATTCATTGTGAATACCTGGCTATACTTGATTACATCAAGTCACGTCAATTTGGTCAGAACAGTTTTGTTTTTCATGCGCATGATTAAACACATGATGTATTTTTAAAGCGCACTTCGTTTTTCGCTCGCTGATTTGACTCCAGATCTACGCGCCGTCAAGTAAAAATTACAAAGCTCATCACCGATGACTTAAAGGACTGTTGTATATTTGCATTATGTTTGGAAGTAAGACATTCTCAGGATTCTTCTTGGTAGGTCACAGTTATGACTTTTTAAGGCCTAAAATCTTTGCGTCTCTGAGCAATACGCACGCAAACTTGTGAGGATTATTTCGCAACGCCTAATTCAAGGCTACCCAGAGATGCATGCCGACATAGAAATGCGACACGAAATCCACCTACTAAATTGCCACGTTTTGTTCAAGATCAGGCCAGATTTGACAGTTGAGGCGTTCGTGGGTTGTGCATGCCATCAGGAATGGTGTAACAACGGGAGGCAGCTGGCTTTTAACCGGTTAAACGCGTTAGATGCAAGCTTCGAACACGACATGAACGACATTTGAGTCATGAACTGCATCATATTCTTCATAAATTTCATGAGCTGAATCATCAGCCGATCATCTCTAACAACGTTTTGTCAGTGAGTCATGTCGCTCAAATGGAAATGGTAACATGAATAAACGCAGGTCGCTCCAGACAAATAAACAACCATTGCAGAATGTTAAAATGAACGGCATGCATCATCGGTCATAAAGTTTTTTTTGACAAAATTAAAAGTTTTGGCTATTTTTATAGGCTGTTATAGGCTATTTTTATTAGGTTTCACATTGTCTCTTTTATGCCCGCTTTTGTCAATGATGACGTGTAACTTCTAAAAAGCTACTGGATCTTGTGGAAAGTTACAAAATATAAGGACATGGCCTGGTCACGCACATATGAGCATGGGGAGGTGAGAATGTGGATTTTTTGGAAAATTTAGCCTTTCACCTAGTCTAGTGGGATCAGTTATTGACCTAGCGACAGACACTTGATACCAACCGCAAGATCACGTTGAAAGCAATCCAACGTGTCTTTTTTCTCGCGAGGTTCCATATTTACTAGTTTTGAGCCGGTAAGGGCATGAGCCTCACTCCCCATCACTCCATGTTATGAAAAACGACGAATTAGGGCGACAATCAGTGCACAAACCATGACAAATCATCATGTTCGACATGCTCATCATGCAGTTAAGATTTTCACTGATGCCGGTTTAATGATATTGCCCTGGCAGGCGCTGCATCAAATACATTCCTCAGAGATAATTCAGTTACATCATGTTGCGTGCATACGTATAAAGCCTTACCCGAAGACAGCTCAGTTGACATTTATCCCTTGCGATGCTCTTTTTTCGACTTTACAGCTTTTTGCCGTCTGAGGTGTGGAGTTGTTATTCCTTTATTCCTGGCGATGTCTTGTCGTTGGACGGCTTCCATATGACTTTTGTTCAGGAACCATCGCACTCATAACATTTGGACTGATTGACCGGGGCGTGTGTCGGCCAAACTGGCGTGTGGCTGTGAAAACTGATCAGTCAAAGTTGGGGCGTGGAGTTAGGTAGATAGACGTGGATCAAGGGTATGTGCAGACACCAAGTCAGTAGGAAGCCATGCCCCTGGTTGTTTCAACAAGCGGCTGAATCATAATAAACGGCTGCATTCCTTCGTTCTTGACGGTTGTATTACCATCGCAGGTTTATGAAAACAAAACTCCCATTTTTCGCCGCTGATTCCTGTTTTTAAGGGACGAGACGGACTTCGTCACACCCGTTTTATAGAGCGCCAGCCAATGCTTTGGCCATATTAGCGCTCAGCGGCCATGGCTTAACCAGGAGTCGAACCTATGTCCCACGCATGAGTCCGAGGCCGTAACCAATCGGACTTACGTCCCTCCCCCCCCCCCCTATCTTAACCCATTCGACCCAAACAACTTCTCTGAACCCATTCATTCCAAACAACCTTTCTGAATTAATTCTATCCAAACAATTTCTTGTCCCAGAAACCTCCAGATAAACCACTGCCCGCCACATACAACGCACATTCTGTATGTTACAGTAATGTTTGTTCAGCATAGAATCGGTGAAACCTATGGGGCAACTTCATTTGAAGGGCCTAGGCAAAAACATCCGCCCGTAGAATAAAGACTTTTTTATCGATTACGTTACGATATCGAAAACGTTTTATCGATTGAAATGCGCCACGCACCCAATGGTCTCGAAAAGATGCGTTTATATTAATGGACAAGAAATTGATATGCATGACCAGCATTGCAGCCATCAGGCCGTCTGACGTATGCACAATCCATGCATCTATCAGATCTGTATTCAAAGTTTCCTTTTACAAGTAAGTTGTATTACTCGATCAAATTAGATTTTCAAGTATTTCCTTCAGTAAAACACTTGTCCTGGACATAAGTCAGCTTTAACAGTTTGTACAAAGTAATTAGACCTAGGTATTTGGTGATATCAATGTGCTTATGCAAAGCTATTTTAGCGTATAGAAGTGAAGTACACTTCATGATTACCGGTCAGAAACAACTATGATAGAATTTCATCAACAGGCTCGATGATTCGTTCCTTTACTTTGTCATATATTTCTTCTTTTACTTCATGCTTAATTTGCTTGTTGAGGAGTTGCCCAATCTTTTTCACAACATGGTCGGATTTTTCGTTAAGTGGCCGCGAACCGGACTTTGAACGTCGGCTTGAGATTGGGTCATCCAGGTCCCAAATATGGACATGCTTGCCATGCCTATGAATGTACGTCTTCGGAAGGGCCTCTGGAAAAGTACATGTTCGCGGTTCAATCTGCAGAATGGAAGTTCTCAACATAGATATAAGACATTGTCATTTCGTCAGTAACTGGAAAGCAAGAAGTTGTGTTTCAGCAAATAACTCACATTACTTGCAAATATACTTGAACGCAATCGTGTATAATTTCGTAATTTTACGCCTTTACAAAAAGTTGCAAAACTGCGTCATAAATGCGCATTTTTGCATATTTGCAAACACTATGTTAAACGTGGATGCAATGTTCTACCTCAACGGTTTTGGAATGCTCAGTCACAAGCAAAATTACTGACTTGAGTACCACCGATATTTCCACTCACCTGTAATAACTGCAAATACGAGAAGACTGAAAAGAAAAACAAGGACCGCCCTCATCTTGCTGTAAATGTCACAAAAAATGTAAAACGGTTCCTCAATTTTGAACGGCTATGTTGAATGTGCCAAAAAGCAGTAACACTGCGAGAAGACTGCGCAACTAAAAATTCATTGTGAAAACCTTGCTAGACCTGATTACGTCAAGACACGTCGATTTAGTCAGAACAGTTTTGTTTTTCATGAGCATGATTAAACACATGATGCATTTTTAGGGCGCACTTCGCTTTTCGCACGCTGATTCGACTCCAGCTCAAGTAAAAGTTACAAAGCTCATCATCGATGACTTAAAGGACTGCTGCACATTCGCATCATGTTTTGAAGTAAGGTAGGCTCAGAATTCTTCTTGGCAATTCACAATTATGACTTTTTAAGACCTAAAATCTTCGCGTCTCTGAGCAATGCGCATGCGAACTTGTGTAGACTATTTCGCAACATCTAATTCAAGGCTACCCAGAGATGCATGCCGACATAGAAATGCGACACGAAATACACCTACTAAATTACCACATTTTGTTCAAGGTCAGGCCAGATTTGACAGTTGAGGCATTCGTGGGTTGAGCATGTCATCACGAATGGTGTAGCAATGGGAAGCACCTGGCTTTTAACCTGTTAAACGCGTTAGATGCAAGCTTCGAACACGACGTCTTTCATCTTTACTGGTTTTAGGCGTCTCGGCCCTTCCGGACCACTGCATGCATGAAACATATAATTTGAAATCAACAGTGTATTTTTGTAAGTAGACAAAAGATCAAAATTTCGAGAATAACACGTTCGCCATGAAATTCTGCATTGCTTGCAGCCAGGCTTACAGTCGACTCGTGCTGAATCATGAACCAGCTCTTGAATAAGTAATTTTGAAATAAGTCGTAAACTGAGTCGGCTCACTACGAAAAATGTCGCTTTGAGTCATGAGCTGAATCATGAGCCAATTATCTCCAACAACGTTTTGTCAGTGAGTCACATTGCTCAAATGGAAATGGTAACATGAAGAAACATGACACACTCCAGACAAATAAACAAACCATTTCAGAATGTTAAAAAGGAACGGCATGCAGCATTAGTCATAAGGTTTTTTTGACAAAATTAGCACACAAGTTTTCTGTTGTAACGTCTGAACAGCAAGCAGAATATTGGTTATCGCGAACTTGAGTTTGCCAAATGTTAGCCAGCAAACATGACTTATCGACAATATCGTATGGTACACACACCCTACATTCCTATATCCTACCCTAAAGTCAGCAAAAGATTGGCTGCTACCGATGAAATTCAAGGGATTATCATATTTGTCATCGTCAAATGTCACAACAATGAACTAATCCACACCTGACCCCTTAGTCAATCCTCCTTGAACTACAGTAAGCATGTTTTCGCTAAGGCTATATAAAATAATCGGTAGGGTCGCCTCGTCTCATATGCACATTGTATATCCCACATAATTTCCCAAGGGTATCATCAATAGTTATTTTCACGCAACACGGAACTTGTGAGAATATAGCCCCCAAATGAAGTAGTGTTGAAAGGTAAGAAAGTGGTGCATAGCACTCTGATGTTTACGCAGCGCGGAACCCTGTTTTGACTGCTAAGCCATGATAGCGTGACCTGTTGAAATGAGTTCAAGGTATCCTGGTGGAGATGACAGCCGGCGCCTTCGTCAGACTATCCCTAGTTCACCCGTTCAGAGTTCAGTTCAGTTCAGGTCAGTTCCTTGCTGACTAGAAAATCTGGGTAGAGTGAAGTGGACTTTTGCTGGGCTTGTATGTGAGAAATGCAATCGTAATTCGCAATATCTATTAAGTTCAGGTAAAAAGGTAAGTTCTTAGTATGTTTATTACGTATGCCA